CTGAACCTGTGCATGTTTGAGTTCCATATAGAAACTACATGCTCACCAGTGACTGTGGGCATTTGCGCACATTTGTGCAGTAAAACCAAAGGAGGGTTAATGCATTTTGCATGGGTGGTTCAAACTTTTCCAAATGACTGTGCATACATGCTGCCGTGTTGTGGAGCAAGTTCTGTATGCCGTCTGTGATGAATGAAAAGTGCTCGTATCAAGCACATGTACTGCTTGAACATCTCGGCGTGTCTGTGCATGTCTGTCACTCCGGATATGCCTCACGTACATGTAGGTTGCATTGGGGATGGTCTCTCTGATGAACAAATGACGGATGCAACATGGTCATGGGCTGGTGGAGAAACTACTCAAAGATGGATTTGAGGATTCCACAGACTAGACTGCCCTCTTCGAGATTGGATGAACTACATGTACATGCAAGGGCGACAGTGCGGATGATCAGGGTAGGAAAGGTTCCATACAGACAACACTCATCTTCCCTAAAAATCTTCCCATTGCCATAAGAAAGTGACAACATGTCCTAAAAAGTGAAATTCAGCAAATATGAAGCATTTACTTTGAAAACAGACAAGTCTCATAGGTTTGTGCATAGGGGCATCGAGTGTTGTCCATATATGGAACTCTTTCCCAAGAGTACACTGTTTGAAGTTTTTAGCAGGAGTTTGGCTACACATGGACACCGGGTCAGTACAAGTACATGCAGATGGAAAAATGCCCAACCTTAAAGATCTACATTTAGTCAGTAGTTTACAACAAATATAGCACACTGTTGGCAGCAAAAGGCAGGTAATTCATCAGTAAAACAAGGGACACACCTGTAGATTTTCTTTCCTCAGATAAGCCATCAGAACAGAAAGAAAATGGCTTGAGAGTTTAGTGCAGAGATGTGGTTGGGCTTCAGTTGGGTTGACATGCCAACTGAGGAAGTGGCCATTGCCTGCAGCGGCCAAAGACGCCGAGTTGAAAGATGACGGAGAACTGTAAGGTATCAGTGATGCCACACCCTAGAGGATGATGGTCAGTCTGAGTGATAGTCCAGGGAAGTCATGCTGATAAGATGCACAAATTTGGAGTGTAGTTGGCAGATGAATCACTATTGTTGCATCAATGAAAATGAAGGCGAATGGCAGTGCTCTCTCAAGTGTGAAACTACAAAGTCATACATACATACAATGTACATGTACAACCATATTGCATTTGCTGCAAGAAGACTCATGAGGACAGATTGAAGGATCTAGGGTTTCTCCTACATGTGCCAAAGACACAGATCCAGAATGTTAAGCATATGATCAGGTAGTCTGGGGTCCAAGATCGCTAAGATCGGATATGTGAGCAGTGTGTGGCGTATATATTATGCGATTAACTGTGACAGCGCCCTCTTTAAATGCATTCCAGTCCGCTGCAATACCGGTAGCAATTCGTCTGGTAATGGGTCACATCACAAAATAAACTACAGGAAGGTCTTGGGAACAAGACTAATGACCAGGCATCCAAACTACAGCATTTGTAGCTCATTAGGATAATAGTAGCCATCAGAGTTTTTTTGGTTTTTTTGCTGTTACCACCTCACATGACAAAATTAAAAGCAATGATTTGAAGGGAGAAGAAGTACCTCAAGTCTGAGACTTTGATGGAGTGGTTCACTTCTGCATTGCTCTGACTGGCAAAGAAGGCCACAGCATGCAAGATTGGTCCATTTTGAGGAATGGAATGAGAGTGAATGTACAGGCACAGTAGGCCTACACGGGGGTGTAGGCTAGTTTGGCCCTGGGAGGGGGTGCGATTTTCAAGAAAGCAGAACTCAAACTTCCAGCATGTAACGAGGAAGGCAAGTGCGTATGTGAAAAGCGGACTTCCCCGGGTATTTGCTATTTTACTTTTCGGTCATCGTGTATCGAAAACCCATGTACTTTCACCTTAATAAAATAACGCCCTGGATCCGCACCCGTCCAGCCTACGCCCTTGGGCACAAACTGCAAAAAGAGCAGCATACAGAAATTCATTTTCAGCCAGATCAGCCTAACGTAATTGACTATGGGCACTTTGTGTTAAATAATTGTTAGAGGGGAGCACCTCATGCTCCAAGTTCACGTGGAGATATCCCCGCTCTGGAACACATCATTGTCAAACACAGCTACAATACGGGACACTAAGCATTAATTGCCACAGCCTGCAGTCTACCATGACTGCAACAGGTGCCGTGCTCTTGTTGGCTGCAACTTCTTTGTTCACTGCACCAAGCGGTTCCATTTCACAACACCCCAGCCCCCTTGCCTGCTACTGACACAGTCTCAACCTACGAATCTAGCCACATGGCTCAGTTCCATGAGCTCCACAGCTCCATCAATACCATTTCTTTTTAACTAACCTTGGTGATGCATGGTTGGGATCTTGCTCCGTGGTCGACAACAGTGCTGTGATTGACTGCCTTTGGCCAACGCTCATGCTCTCCAGGAAGGTACTACACTGATCTATTACTGCTGGCTCTTGAGACTAAAAACAGTTGGACAGAAACAGATTTGGCAATTGGTCAACACATACATGTACTGTAATCGTCTTATTCCCTAAAAGAGCCAGGTTAATCTAACCCATCTCACAGCCCTGGGTGGCACCCTCCAGGCAGTCAAGAGCACTGTCCACTGGACATACATGTACATGCATGTGTTCAGCCTCTGGCGCTTTGGCTGCTCTGCAGCACTACATGTCCTGCTTGAGCAGTATTGAACACTGCAAGGACTAAGGTGGACACTGCGCTAACTACATGTACATGTATATGCATATGATGTCATATTGCTGCTTACACGTACATGTACAGTTGTATATCTAGGCATTAGGCCCACTGACGTACCTTAACTGGTCCAACTCCAGATCTGTAACAGCAAGACAAAACAGAGAATCACATTCTTTTTCAGGCCTTTTTCAACTGCAACGTCGACAAAAACTTGGCCAACTTGCAGTAACTGTGTTTGAGCACATGGAGCAAATGCCATCAAGTAACTTGAGGAAATGTGTGACAGCTCATCAGGGCACTGACTACATGTACCTCACAAAAAGACCACCATTATTATACATTTACAATGAAAAGAGTTCCATATACATGTACATGTGTACATGTATACAGACAACGCTAATTTTCCCTTAAAATGCTATGGCAGCCATCAGAGAGTGACAATGTCCCAAAAAGTGAATTTTAGCTGGGAAGTCGGTTTCCCAAACATTTACTTAAAAAACACTTAACTTTTTTCAGGCAAGTCTAATAGGTTTGTGCACAGCAAGGTGCGCCGAGGTCCAATCTCAAATAGCACCCTCTACCGGACTCATAAGGACATTTAACATCCCTGGTGCTTTGTTGTCAAAGAAAAAGATTGATTAAAGCACATTAGAATCAGGGGACCTCCGTGATCAAAGTGCTTTTACATGGACTATCGGTGCTCTCCTTCGTCTTTGACTTTTGGTTCAGTTTTTACTGTTACCATGGTTACATGTATATTTTGGATTCAGAATGCCTCGTATACCTAGAAAACGCTGCTGTACAGGTACATGTATTTGCAGATTAGGGGTTACATGTACCGCTAGTTGCAGGTTTTATTTATTAGATACATGTACTCTTAACCCCAACCCCCTAGGCCTTTTTACTAGGAACCATCCTCAATCCTCCCAAATCATCCCATTTTCTGCCTGAACAAATTGCCGCAGAAATCAGCCTCGATCCTCCGAAATCCTCCGAAGATTTCTTGAAAATGTTATTTTGGCGTGTGCCTACTGGGCAATTCCGTATGGGAAATGAGAAAAATGGCTAATTTCAAAGCTGCTCAAATAGAAATTAAATTGACTGTGCTCAGGGTTCTGCCCAGGATGGTTTTAGTGCCGGCAGGACTATCTAAGCGGAGCGCCACCATCGGTTGGCGCGGAGCGTACCAGAAAATGTTTGGAATCTAAAAGCCCCCAGATGGCCGGTAACAGCACTTTCTGGGTGTTTTCAGCTGTGTATACACAGCCCACAATTAGGGATCTCATGTCTGAAATTTCATAAAAAAATTGAAAATTTGTAATTTTGGTCAACTAGGACGAGGTGATAATTTTAGAC